TTTTTTTTTTTTTGCTAAATGAAGCTTAAAATCTCACCTTTCCAACACTATATGGTATGGCACAATGGAGACATACGACTGCAACGATATTTCTTAACAAAATACGAAAAGACTTTTTCGACTACCCAATATTTTATCGTTTAAGCATTATTTTACTACAATGAAAATTAAAAATTTTTTTTTACAAAAAATATTGCTAGATTTTCTAAATTTCATGCAACAAAAACYAAAAGCAATTAATTTCAACAGTTTCAATAATTTTTAAATATTCGCAAGTCATCTGTTTGATTTCCTTTTCAAGTATTTAATASTTTAGTTTAATTATTAATTCTAACCAGGATATAGACTCGCTTGCACTCAAATGGGTATGTATTGAGTAAATGGATTACCTTCTTCGCGATCGCGTTCGATTTTCGGATGTATCTTCCCTTTATGATCCGTGGAGTTGAGAAAATTCAAATCAGTTTGCGGTTGTGAATATGGTATGGATATATTTTGTCCGTATTGCATTGTGTTATTGGCGGCCGAGACTGCAAGTAGAAATAAATAAAAGGAAAACATCACATTAGTTGAAAACAACGATAAATGAAGTTGCAAACACAAATAACACAAATGAGAATTCGGTCAATATTATAAAGCAAAAAAGAAAAATTCAAAGGGCGCGGTGTAAAAGTAAACGAGTTTTTACATAGCTATAGCACTACAAATACATCAAAGTAATATTTGTATTTTCTCACACATTTTATATATTTTATTGATGAGTTTTGCCGTGCGCTTATATCGAATTGATTACTTTATTTCCAGCAAAAACAAAATTAATTTTAATTTAACTAGTAAATTTAACTATATCTTTATACTATATTTGATCACAAAGTAAGTTTTATTATGCAAAGCATTCACAGTTGAGTCTATGCGTGTGATTTTAAGCACCAGCACCACCGTTCGGCGAACGACTGACTGTCTGTGTAAGCGGCTGGTTGGTTCGTTGTTTGGCTGGCTGCCAGGCTGATTGTCTGAGGCTCGCCAAATATCACAAACAACTGATGTGGCTGCACAACCCGATTATGCCCCTATGCCTACAATTCCTACAAAACCTCAAACTTCGTACTTCACCATTTATCTGCTGCCGCTTGATGAACAACTAAACGTCATGGGAGACGAAGCAGACACAGYCGTTGAAGCAGAAGTCGAGACATATACGGAAAAAAGAACATGAAATAGAAACGTGGATCCCTGATGCTACGGGTTGCCAACAGTCTGAGAAGCTTAAATGAGGCGCGCTATGACGAACGCCTCTGCAGTGAAAGTTCAGCTGTTGCGGTACGGGCCCCCTAACTCAAAAACTGAATACATTTTCTTTTGCCTGTATGTACATACATATGTATATATACTTACACATATGTAGGTGCAAATACATATAGTGGCAGCCACGTGTGCTGTTACCATTTTATGTACATATTTATTGTATTAAGAGTGAGTGCGTGCGCCTCGTTTTTCGGCAGCCTAAATTCAGTCGATAACAACAACGATGACGAGAGCGAAGTCRWGTACGACGCGTCGTATCGCAGTCACGAAACATTTAACCGAAACCGAATACGTTTCAGCCGCGCTCCCTCATTGCCGGCGACAATTCGTAGAGCACAAGCAGCCGCCTACAACTTTGTTATTGCACTTCAAGGCAARCTATCAGCTGCCGCCCTACACCGGAACCAAGGTTTGGCAGGAACCGATCGGGCATGTACAAGTCGAACATATGGGTTGTACAGCCGATGTCGGCTGCTTTATATCTACATATACATAATTAACTGTATCGGCTGCTTGACGGCAAGTTTTTATTGTACACACGTCCATACATGTGTATACTTAATCTATACGAATGCTTGTATGTATTCATAATATTTAAGTGACTGCGGTTGTGACTGCCAAGGCCATTTGGGCAGTTGACGCGTGTCTGCTTAYAGATAAGAGTCAGTGCGTTTGTGTGTGTGTGAGTGAAAGCGTGGCACCTTTCAACAGCGCTGACCTCGCTGGCAGATCGACGGCAGTTGGGTAGTAAATGTCGCTCGTTCATAGACACATAATATATACTATGTATGTACATATATGTTTGTTCAGTGTCTACCAGAACGTCCCAGTTCTTTTTTAGCGCTTTTAGGCGAAAGCGACGGAAAAAATGAAAAATGTGTACAAGTYAATCTATGTACATGTGTGCGTGTGTAAATTTTTTGCATTAATGTTGCAGAATTACCGTTAGTATTTAGTATATTGGAGGAAAAAGGAAATGAAAAAGCCAGCTGTTTTGTGCAGACGTCGGCGAGGAGCCGATATCTAGGCGCTCCTGTGTGTACCGTTCAACGAATGTTACGTATACGCACTGTGGTACAACCGACGTTGTTCACCGTTCTACTCGCGGTTGGCTTTCGGGCGGTTATGCGTCTGTATGGTGATGCCATTCATMTAGCAGCTATGCGTGGGCTTTGGTTTTCATTATATTTTTGGCCAACTTTGATATTTTTCCGGTATTGCACAAGCTGCTGTTGCCAATTGCAGATATTGCTTGGCGTTTGAATTTTCAGAAATATATAGGGAAGTATGATTATATACAGAAAACGTGTCGCCGCACACATGCTGATATACACAAACTTTTATACTTCTTGGCTACACACACATAACGTATATAGATTCATACACAAACTGGTTTATCAATATGTACATATATTTTAGGTATCTTGAGATGTCGCGTCGGCTCATATGTTTCACGGAAGTTTTTAATATTTCATCAGCAGCTGTAATTTTGGTGCAGGGTTGCTGTTTATCCTTAAATAGAACAGAATATCCTTGTATTACATTACTTCAATAAACATGCCGCACGCARCGTTGTACAGTACATTCTTAATTACATAGATAAAACATATAAAATAGTACATTCAGAAAAACATGAACATTTACTTCAGCGTTTTCAATTAAATATTTGGTTTATTGGAGTATGTAGTTATGTGAATATTGTTTATGAATAGCTTAAGTTCTTGTCGATTATTATAATCGATATAATATTATTATAACTTAAAACAGTGGCTGCCAGGGTGTCGAAAATTGCTTGCTTTTAAGAGAAAAACACATTCTATCAATTTTATTAAGACAACTCATATAGTGGCCGTTATATGGGGTATAAAGTCACCCGAAACTCTAAATATTTATATTAGGAATGTACTAGGGGCTACAGGAAGTATTGACTCCATTTAACTCATTTGTAGCACACAGAAAGGTTACTCTCTGAATTTTAATTATATATCTGACGCATTGATTCGCATTGAATATTTTCAGTAACAAGTTAACTATTGGTACTGTGGTCCAAATATTCGGTATGTAATTACTAGTTTAGGTCACGGGGTGGCAYACTCMWATGGCATTATTCGTGCAAAGKTTTARAAACCTTTTAACGTTGAGTTAYATGGGAGTCGATTTCATTCATTTTAACACTGTCGGTAAGAGTTCACATAATATTTGCYTGTTTTGGTTGTTGTATYGTTGTAGCTTAAGTGGTTTAAGAGATATAYACATTAAGSTTATTAGCCATGCTCACTTTTCCAAATTTTTTGTCCCACTGGTGCCTCTTGCTATTGCGATTTCTTGCGTCTAATTAGAGTTCTATATAATTTAGTGCTTAGTTATGGCACTTTATGGGGTTTCAGTTAATAGCGTCTTGTGGGCGTGGCAGTGGTCTGTTTACATCTGTCTACGAATTTGTAATTATCTTTCCCAAAGAACGCGTCAAACCAAGTTTCATCAAGATATCTAAATTTTTGCTCAAGTTACAGCTTGTGCGGACGGACCGGTGGACGAATGCACAGAGCGACAGTCCCCGGATTTCATCTCGTCTTTTCATCCTGATCATTTATATATATATATTGTATATATAACTCTATATCCTGTCTCTTATACACATCTAGATGTGTATAAGAGACAGAGTTACAGCTTGTGCGGACGGACCGGTGGACGAATGCACAGAGCGACAGTCCCCGGATTTCATCTCGTCTTTTCATCCTGATCATTTATATATATATATTGTATATATAACTCTATATCTGTCTATCTATGTTGTCAAGGGGTAGGAGGAAAATGCTGTTGATTGAGTCCTTGACTGGTTAAAAGTCCGAGGCTGCTTCGGTTAACTAGACCAATATTGTCTTGAGAACGAAGTGTCATGCTAATACATTAAATTTAAGTAGAGATTTACTTTGTGTTAATGAAATTATGGGACCTTTCAGAACTTTTAATTCCAATACCTATCAGATACTGAAACTTAAAATGTTCTTTATGTATGCTAATAACAAATATCTACTCTGAGGAATCCGCGATGAGTCAACTGAAGAACACTTTAGCGTTTTAAAACAATGTAAAATTTGGCAGAATAATAAACAAAAGTTTTCTTTCTATTTTAATTCCATTCCGCTACTGCGCCGAGGAATTCGGATCAGCCACCTTCAACACGTAAAACTTCAAACGAGTGTCTTTCGAAATAGAATTTTTCACAGCGGGCGACTATGGTGCTAGGAGCCTACCGCATCTATCCAAGTGAAATTTTAGAGGGCTCTAAACTGGTTTAAACTCCTTTATATAAACTTTTTTGAACAAACTTCATCTTATGGTGTTTAAGTCATTATACCAAAGAGGTACATAAATGTTTTGAGARTGGACATACATTTGTGCTTAATGCATAGAAATATTATATGTATGTTCCATAGATGATACTTACAAAGTAATTCCAGTAAAAAAATATGATAAATCAAAGATGCAGAAACCAAACCGAAAATGCAATTACAAATCACAAAAAGGACACGCGCACAAAATTCAGTGAAGATGTTGCACAAATTGTGTGTCAAAATGTGTAAGTGTTGGACAGAGAATATAAAACAACTTAGGATAAAAATCAAAAGACTCAACGGAAAGACACAAAATACAGAAACAAACACATAACTTGTCAAGAATATCTACAYATAAATTTTGGCCAACTTTAAAATACATATGTATTTATGTAAAGTGCGAAATTAAATGTCTGGGCAAAAACAAAAGTTTTMACTTGTTTATATATTGCCAAATATGAACCAATAAAAGTAATGCCAAACAAACAAACGTTGAAGACATACTGTCCCGTGTCTGCCAGACAACAACAGGAATGTGAATTTTCCAAATACGGGTACGGGTACTAGTACGAATACGAATACAAATACGGGTATACGATTCTGCGTACGAACTTTGAAACGYTACTCCAGTTACAGAACGGAGTCATCGGCTCTGGCATAGTGGAGCAGCAAAAGCAAAAGCAAAAGCAACAAAACCCACTACCATTTGGATGACATGCAAACTAGTAGCTTTTCACTTTTCACTTCACTTTCACCAAACATACTCGTACGAGTAACAAATCGCCACTCTCCTTTTGCTTACTCGWTAACTGTGCATCATGATGAGCACAAAAAGCGCGCAAACGCTCACTCTCCAACAAATGCAACCGCTGGTCATATTATTATAA